TTTCTTGTTTTTCATGTTTATTCTTTATTTATTATTATAAAAATAACTAAAATGTAAAAAATGGGGATCTCTTTAGGTTAGTTAAGATTAAATTGGGTAAAATAAATAATATTTTGATAAAAATGTTTCACAAGGCATGCATGCGAGCAGCTTGTGGGTAACATAAATCGATAGCATAATGCAACCTTCACATTTCCCAAGTGATTTACAACTTAGAATAGCATGATTAGTAGTTAGACGTGGTTCAAAGAGCAATAAAATAATAAAATTTAATTTTTAACAGATGTATGCTGTTACGAGTTTAAAGCTACTTGTAATTTCATGTTACAATCTAAAATCATCCTAGAAAAAAAGGGTAATTTAGTTTTATTTTGATTTCTTATTTGGTGGTTATGAGGTCGGTCAAATTGACCAACATTGTATAGTGTTAGGGTAGAGAAAATAACAGATAAAATATAAAGTTTTAGAGATTACACAAATCAAATCTAAGATTGAGATCAAGAAAATCATTTTTAATCTTAACATTAAAATCACTTTGCAGACGGACTATTCAAATCAGATACTCGATATACTCACAGACAAATTTTTTTTTAAAATACTTCCCAAAAAATAAAAAAAATTGTATGTGGAAGACAATGTTTACTGAAAAACTGCCAAATTTGTGAATGAAATACATACTATATTAAAAGTTAGTATCAAATCTATAAAGACTTTATACGAATACAAAGAGATCATGTGGTCGGCCAAATCGACCGAGCCAATGTTAATAAAGATAAGAAGAATAATTTGTCATGTCAAATGGTGTTTTAAAGTAATTGAACCTGTCTGTGTGGACTTTTGACATAGAAGAGAATTAGTTAAATTTTAGATAAAACTGTGATATCCTATAGTACAAGAAATTTTTCTACATACATTTGACTTTTTTTGAATATATTATTTTAAAGCAAGTGGATTGTGTGCTGTCCGTTTACAGTTCAAATTTATCGCCACTAAGTCACAGACACCTACTGTAGAAGAATCCTAGCCCTATATATGCAAATCCCTGACAAATCAATCAATGGTGCCACTGATTGATTGATTAGCAAATACCACTGACTGCTGAGCTCTAATTACAGCATTAACTATTTCTATATAGGCTCAGTCACTGACCAACCTGGTAACCCCCAAGTAATCATAAAAGTATAATTTTAATTTCAGTTTTGATTTAGTGTAATAATAAATATTCTAGTGGCAACAAAAGTGCCAAAAAAAAAAGATTAAATAATGTTATAACTAATTGAAGCTGAAGTGAAATGGGTTCTAACTAAGCAGTTTTGATAAGACCACTTTATATCTATTTTTATGTCAGTCATAATGTTTTCAATCCCAAACGTGAGAAAAGCTAAAAATAATAGTTTGGACTGACAGATTTATTTATTGAAGATTTACCCTTGAAGTTTTTCTTTCAGAATGTTGACTATCCGACATGCAAAGTGATATTGATTTTCACAAAATTATCACATTTCCTTTGGAAAAATCTCTAAAACTTCGCATATATATATATATATATATATATCAAACTTTATAGTGTATCTGTTATTTTCTCTTCCCAATTCATTTGACAAACCTCATAGCCACCAGTAAAAATTAAGAAATAAATCTAATTTGCCCGTTTATATTTCTAGAATGACTGAAAATTTTACCAGGAAATCAAAATTGTTTATCTTAAATAATTTAAGTCTCATAACAGTACACATCCATTTATATTTATTAAGTTTTTTTACTTTTGAACAGTGTCTAATAATACCCCATTCAAGTTGCAAGTCATGCAATGCGGCTCATATTACTGTATTGAATAGCATAAAACTGGCCTACAAAGTAGAAATCTTACTCTTAGCACTAGTATACCAGTATCTTATAAAATACAGTGCCATTTCAGTTACCATATATATGTATACATATTATTACTATTAGAAATAAATTCTTATATTTCAGTTTTCTTAAAACATAGAATATGAAATAAGAAATACACAGAAAACAATGATCTCTACTACTTATGTTACAAAATTTATTTTACTTGTGTATAATACTTGTTAAGCCTCGTAATATTTTGCAAGTGGAGCATGTAAAAATATTAAATTTTATAGATTGTAAGTATGCATTTTAGAACAACAAAAAATTATAAATTACTACATCAACATCACAAAAATCAATTTAACTTATCAGGCTTCCTAACTAAGGTGTATTTGGTTTTAAACCTCCCTTCTTATCAAGGAATCACTTTGATCAAACTTCAAACTCTCCAGTGGTTATAACAGCTTTATCCTTATAAATACTTTAGGAAGACTGACAGTATCAGAGTTCAAAATGAAAGCTTTTGCTTGGTTATAAACATGTAATTAAGATAAGTAGGTATATATAAATATTTTGAAAAAAACCAAGTGGTGGATTTGCTAAACATATTTCAGCAAAGAGGAAATGCAGGAGGTTCTTATTTTATATTCTAGCTTGTCAATATTTGTAATCTGAGTTTCTATTTCATTAAAAACTATAGACATTGTATTGTGGGTGTCATAAAATGTAAACTGAAACAAAGCAGATGATGATGTACTATGTGACATACAAAAATTGGTATTTAGCAACTTTTTTAAAATTTACTTTTGAATTAAGAAATTAAATGTATAATACTAAAATTTGAATATTAAACTAGAATTTGATTCTAAATGTATTGACATATATTCACAAAATTTTGAATGCAAGTCTATAAAACATGATATGCACTCTGCCCCCTACCCATATGGAAAAGGTTAAAGTATTAAGTTTATCTTCATTAAATTTGTTAAGTTTTAGTCAACAAAATATCAGACTCTTTAATTATGTATTTTTTCTAAGAATTGTTTGTGAATATAGAGTTAGTGTGACTCAGACCAACTAGTCAAAGTGCAAGGTGATTTTCATGTTAAGAGAAACACTTTTCCCATCTTAATTTTCAATTTAAGTTGCACAACCTCTAAAACCTCATAAATGAATATAATTTTATCCAGTAAAACTATATTTTATCTGTTATTCTCTCTAACCTAACACCATATGAACTCTCTCAGTTTGACAAATCTCGTAACAACCATCACAAAAAAAGAAAAAAAGAGAGATAAATCTAAATCATACCTTTTCTTTCTAGAATGACTGCAGATTATAACTCAAAATTACGATTACTATCCTAAACAGGTTAAGGCTTATAACAGATTACACCTGTTTATATTCAGTTTAATTTTTTTTTGCTCCTTGAACCATGGAACTATCAATCCCACAGTACAAGTTGAAAATCACATTGCAAAAATGTGTTCAAGTTGCACAAGCTTCTTTTTTATTATTATTTTCATGATCTAACCCAAACTTTCTAATTCTTACATTATACTTTTTTTGATAATAGAAAATACATATAAAAATATTTGGTACTTAAGCTTGTACTCTTGTTCTTCTGTGGGCTGCCAGTGAACATTATTGTTTGTAATAATGATACTAGTACAAATAATTCTTATTTCAAATATGCACTTAAGAACACAAAATATGACAGACACCCCCCCCCCCCAATGAAAGAATAGACCATTCCAAGCTTTTACTTGTTGTTAAACACTTGTTTAAACAATTTTATTTATTCAATAAAACAACTTATTGACTTTCTAACTTAGTTGTTAAATCTGAACTCAGTAATAGCTACTTTGAATCTGTAGGCAAAATAAAATCTCTGAGAACAAGGTAACATTTTACATCATTCATTAAATTAAAACATTACTTTCTACTGGTTATAAACGATGTGATAGCAAACAGAGAAAATTACTGGCAATATATGAAAGACAATATGATAGGAGGGGGTGGGAAGTATGCTTGACTTTCTAGTTCGTCTCTTCATAAAGAAGAATAAAGGCTATAAAAATTAGACTATATCTCAGTAATATACAAGTAAATTATGTTTAGGGCATTGTTGAACAAAAGAATTTTTTCTTCGTATTTTTCTACTTTTGCTATGAATGATTTTGCTACAGTTAATGTTATGGTAGAGAAAATAAGCAACAAAGTGTGATGTTTAACTTAAAAAAAATTTAGGAGGTTTTAGAGTTTATGCAAGTAGTCTGAAAACTAAGACTAAAGGAAGTATGTATCTTATGAAACTGACCTTTCACTCATACTACTCAGTTAAGGCTTTGTAAATTCACAGACAAATCTTTGTAAAAATACTTTATTAAGAGATCTATGGAGTTTTGAGTCAATTGTATTTCACCATATAGTAACCAAAATTAATTTAGGTCCATAGCAGAGGAGACAACCAATCAAAGTATGCATTAGACTTCTATATCATTGATTCTCTATTCAATTTCACCTTTATTAAAAGATCCGATTTTTTGTGTACAAAAAACTTGTAATGTTTATATTGAGTACATTCATAGTTATAACAGATATAGTTTCATGGTGGTTAGGTTAGTGTTATTAAATTGGCTGTATGCATAAATGAAAACAATGACAAAATTGGTTCTTGTTACTTAATTTTATTGTTCAAATACATTTCTGATCTTTCTTGCATTATTGTGGAAAAGAAAATCATTGTATAAGTGATTAACAAACAATAATGCAACCACTAAATAAAGAAGTGTTCATGACTTAAAAGATTGCAACATGGTATTGCAAGTGTAAAGAACCATGACATACATATCTTGGTGTTGAAGATATTAATGCTACATAATAGAAAATTCTAACTAAAATAACTATGTTTACAACCAATTCTTAAACCAAAAACTAAGTTATGAACAGCACAATAAGTTGTATGAAAACAATCAAGCAACTTCAGGGATGGATGCCCACAGTCTCAAATAAGCTTAAAAATGTGTAGATAGAGCTCCTTTAAAAAGTGTAAAACAAAATATTAAGTAAATTTAAAGTTCTTTCAAGAAATCATGAAGTTGCTTTCATGTTGTCATCAGTATTTCAGTTATCACTGTACAAGTTAAAGATAGTTGAACAATTACCTTGTTAAAAGAAAACAGCCATCTGTACATCTCTTTAAGGCTGCCTGAGCTGCCAACTTTCGAGAATATTCAACAATTCCTTCACCCACTGGTCGACCTCTATCATCCACAATAACCACTGCCCTTTCTACTTCTCCAAAAATTGAAAATGCAGCTTCCAACAACTCATTAGATACCCAAGGTGTCAAGTTTTTCACTTTCAATGCAGCTCCATGAGTAGCAAAACGAACACGTAATGATTTTCCATCTTTAACTGTAAGGTCTAGAGCTGCTTTAGCTGCTTCTGCATTCTGTCTTGTGTCCTGAAATTTCAATATCACCAATATCAAGAGTATTAGTTTTTGAAGTTTTTACATACATTACAAAAACATCAATATTTATAACACTTAGAAGTCTTAAGTTTAACACAGCAATGTGTTATAACATGAAAATAGTACTTTAACCAACTCTCTGAATACTATTAATGAATTATTCACTTAAGAAATAAAAAGGAAACGAACAATAGAAGGATCATATCTTGCATGATTTTACATCAGAGTACAAAAACATTGTATAACTAGTTTAAAAAAGCAAAGAAAAAAAGTTGTGTAATATTCCTAAACTGGATAAACAAGAATTCTCCATGTGTACAAATTAACTTATTAATGATACATTAAAAAAAATTAAACACTGGACAGCCATATTAGAAAAGCAACCCTCATCTGGAATTGTGTCCAAGTTTTCTAACATCTCAAACTTGTGGCCTATAATTTTACTGCACAGTTATTTATTAAAATTTTATGGATTTATGAATTTCAAACTTCAAGCAATTTTAAAATCCTCAACCATGTGCCTCTTAAGCTAAAACATGTTAAGAGATCTCACCATATATGCATACAATAATTCCCTTCAAACCAGGGTTGTAAGAAACCAAGGTTTTATTGAGGAAAAATGAAAGAAATTCAAGATCACTCTTGGTTCAAGGAGTATCATCCTGACAATTGCTTCAAAGTGCTATAAGATTTGGATTTCTCTTTGAAAGCTGATAGGAATGATGTTTACGTATAAAACTACATACAAGTGGAGAGCAAAACACAAATTTAAGTATCTTTAGAGGCTTTTAAAATTTAAGCAAACATTATCATCAATGTATATTAATATATGCTGCATCATAAGTTACTTTATAATTCAAATTTTAGTATTACACAAGTTTTAATTTCATTTCATCTCGAAATATTTAAATTCTCAAACTTCATGTGTACCAAGCAACTTATTTACACCCAAATACCCATTTTAAATTACCTTTCTAAATACCACCCCTATATGTTCTCAAGTTTAACACAAATAACACATTCGTAGTATACACATCATAGCCTCCAATCTTTTCTTTCCTTGAAAATATAGCCCTAAAGAAATGCAAATCTCTTGTACATTTGCTAATAAAGTAATAGAAAGACTTCTCTTTACTGATTTCTATTGACCCAATATCTTTGAGGTTTTCAATTTACAGTTTCATAATAGTTATTACTAAGAACAGCTCATTACTAATAAATCAGTAAAATTATAATATTTTACATCACTATTTTTTTGTGACTTAATATTTTGTGTTCTTAGTTGCATTATAATTAGGTAAAAACATTTATCAGCACAATACACATGCAAGCTGTACCTGTTAATGTAATTTTATGTGTTGTTTAAAATAACTTGAGCTAGAACTGTGGTTGATATATTGCTTAATTACTACAAGTTCAGTATTTAGACATTGTTCAAAGAGCAATAAAACAAAACTAAATGAAAGCATTTGTCAAAATCTTATGTTTTACCAATTAAAAACTTTGAAACTCATTTACAAGGTTTAATGGTTATGCAAATTATATATAAAAACTAAAATGAAAGTCACTTTGCCCTCAGAATGAGGCACACTGACTTTGTAAAATCACATAATTCTTTAGTATAAAAACTTTATTGAAAAATTACTTTTTGTGCAACAAAATTGTAATGTTTACTAAATATCATGAAGGCATATTTAGTAAATTCAGAATTATAGCAAACAAATTCTCCAATATGGGATCAGTCCAATGGACCATGCCTATGTACATCATTATTTGCAGGTATTTAGTTAATTATTATTATCATTATTATAAGTAGCTTTATTTAATTTACAAATTTTATGTGTGTGCAAAATGCTTCAAACTAAACAGAGTTTAGAGTTCTGATTCTAGGTACCTAACTCAATCTAATAGAATTCACAATAACAACAACAACACACATCTACTATGTCAAGGAAAATGCCTCAATAAAAAAAAAATTCTCCAAGCTTCAAAATTCAAACTCAAATTCAGTTATACATACACACACACACATATATATATATTTTTTCAGGAATGAAGCACTGTGGTTGCCCTACACGTTACTAATTTTGCACCATTTTGCTTTCTTCTTTCTCTCAATTCAAGTAATCGGTGATCCTATTTAGATTCTGACAAGACCAAAAGCTGTTTGTTCAGGCAATACTATCAAGTGGTTGTTGATATCATATGATTGTTAGGATACAATCATTGCTGTAAAAGTAAATAAATATACATAACCCCACTTCCCAGTACAAACAGTAGTGAAGTTAGGTTAGGCACACCTGGGGTCCCGAGTCTTGGGGCTGGCTCCTAGATCTGAAGCTATTTGTTTGAGGCCTGATATACACACACACTCATACATACAGTGACAAATTCAGTTTGAGTGAACTATGAGAGTTGGAGATGGCAACAACCCCTTCCCCTCAGATAGTAATTCTCCTACTGTAAGAAGCAGCAAGTTATACTTGAAAAAAAAAAAAATAATAATAATAATCCAATTCAAGTACATTTCACTTTCAACATTCACTATGTTAATTTAATACAATTGATTCCTGATCACTGAAATCTAGCAGGAACAGTAAACAGCTATATTTATAAGGTCCATAGCAAAAAGACAGGTAAACTTGCAAAATTACAGAAAATTGCATTTATAACAACATGGGACCTATTGATCCATCTTGGCTGTTCCATCCTCTAAGCTAAATTAAAATAATAATAAAAAACAAATCTTAAAGCCAGCCCTTATCATTCATATACTTAAGCATTTTCTTAAACTCATTTAAATTTACTGCCTCTAAAACATCCAAAGACCAATCACCCTGTTATAAAAATGAAACTGTCTTAGATGAAGATGACTCCTATCCTGCTAAAATTTAAATTTGTGTCCCCTAGTCCTACTATTCTCACTGTTAAATATGAAAAAGTTGGTGCATCAACACTATAATTCCCTTTATAATTTTAAACACCTCAATCAGATCCCCCCCCCCCCAGCTCTTTTTTTCAAAAGAAGAAAATTTGAGAGATTTCAGCCTCTCATCGTATGACAACCCCTCCATCCCAGGCACCATTCTAGTAACTCTTCTCTGAACTTTTTCCAAAAATTCAATGTCCTTCCTAAGGTAAGGAGTCCAAGACTGAACATAATATTCCAAATGTGGCCTAACCAGTGATTTGTACTATGAAACTATAACTTTTTTAGACTTGTATTCAATATTTCTGTAGATACAACCTAAAATCCTATTTGCCCTACCACTAGCAACATCACATTGCTTGGATGGCTTTAGAGGCTGATCAACTATTACACCAAGATCCCTTTTCTTCATACCACTGTTAAGGTTATTCCCATCCAAATTATATTTAAAATTCAAATTATGATAACCCACATGCATTATCTTGCATTTATTATAATTAAAACCCATCTGCCATTTATTTGCCCAACTCACTAAATGATCTAAATACTTTTGTAAATCAGCAGCAGCCTCTTCACAGCTAGCAACATCCAAGACCTTAATATCATATGCAAATTTAAGTAATTTATTGACTATCCCTTCATATATGTCATTGATGTAAATAGAAAAGAGCAAAGGTCCTAAGACTGAGCCCTGAGGTACCTCATATGTGACATTAATCCAGTTTGACTAGACTCCATTTGTAACAACCCTTTGCTTTCTTCTATCCAAGTTGCTAACTTATCTTCCACACCTATAGAGATCACTTTTTTTACAAGCCTTTTTTATGTGGCAAATACTTTCTGAAAATCCACCAAATCTACACCCTCAAACTCATCTACACAAGCAGTAACCTTTCCAAAGAATGTCAAAAGATTTGTAAGGGAAGATTTTCCTATAGTGAAACCATGTTGACTATCCAATAAAATTCTAAGCTTTGTTAAATGACTTTGCAAAGCACCTTTTAACAGACTTTCCAAAACTTTTCCCACAACTGATGAAAGACTAATGGGTCTATAATTACTGGGACAATTTTTATCACCTCCTTTGAAAAGATTTTTTTACATTAGCTAACTTCCAATCCTCTGATACCTGCCTACTATTCAAGGACTGATAAAAATTTTAGCCATTGGCTCACATATCCAATCTTTAACTTCCTTCAAAACCCTTTAGGAAATATTATCTTGTCCAGGATCCTTATTGTTTTTTAAATTTACCAATTTTTTCTTAACCAGCTCAGAATTAATGCAGTCATCTTGTTCGATCTCATTTCTATTTATCAACTGTTCAAGATGTGGAATACTGCTTAAATCTTCAGTTAGTAAAAACTGAAGAAAGAAAAACAAAATTTAATAACCCATAATCAGGTACTAGCCTTCCTTTTCATCCGTCAAGGGTCCTACCTCCATCTTAACATTTTGTTTACCCTTAATATATTTAAAGAAATACTTACTGTTAATTTTTATATTTTCAGCTAACCTTTTTTTCATAACACCTGTTTGACCAAATTTCTTGATGTTATATAATCTTCTAAACCTCCTGCCATACCAGTCAATTTAAATTTCTTATGCTTTTCTTTAATTTTATCTCTTTAACCTTTTCACAATAGCCTCAGTATAAAATACACAAGGTCGTATACACATTTGCATACATTAAGTAGTTATACTAAAACTTTTAATGCTCTATGGGTATCTTCACAAAATTTGGTAGACTTTTAGTAATGATTCCAAGTCTTCTGTACACAAAAGTTCAGATTTTTAAATGAAGTATTTTTATTAGAGTTTTGTTTGTGAAAATATTGAATGTTTTCTTTACTAGTCCATGTGCGAAGTGATTTTCATGTCATAATCAAAAAACTATTCTTTGTCCCAAAAATAACATATTTGTGTAATCTCTAAAACTTCATATTTTGTCTACCCTAACTACAAAGAGTATCTATTTGACCAACCTCTTAACCACCATAAAAAAAATTAGGAAATAAATATAAATTCTGCTTTTTTCATTCTAGTGACTACAAATTATAAC